CAACTCAGGAAAGCGAGATGACAGAGGAGCTAGGTATCTCAACTTAAATCAGTATCAACACTGGGGAAGCAGACACCTCTTGGAAAATTGTGCCAATGATATTAATGCTATGTAAAAATCACACCTTAATAAACAGAGCATAACTGATGAAGCTGATGGAAAAAAATCAGAATCAACTTTAAAATACTAGGGAAGCTTTTGGACTTTTTAGATGTTAACATCTGGATTGTCTGAAGGTACGTACTTAAATCCAAGTAGCCTGATTTTAAAATTTCAGCTGCATTTTTGAAACAGTAAACCGTTACTATCTTTGAAAGCCCAGCCTTTTTTCAGTTTTTGTTTAGCTCAAGTTTCAATTCTTTTGTGGCTTAATTTTCATAAATGCCTGTGTTACAGTGCTTGGAAATGTTGGGTACTTAGTGCTTTTGAATTTTGTATCAAATACTTAATTGCTCCATGTAGTCTAAAAGAAGATGTAAGCTTAAAAGAGGCACTGTCTGGGAAATGTGAATGCAGGAAATTGTTTTCAGTTTTCTTCTAATGATTTCTGGCATTATTTAGGAACAGTCTTGGGAAAAATAAAACCCTCTTGAACAATTGAGGCAGTTCTGGCAGACATCATAAATTTATCAAGGTCCATTTTAAAGCTAATTTCTCGTCCCATTTCATATTGTAGCACTTCTCAAGAACACCATTCCTCAGCTGGCTAGAGAACATGTGATTACCAGTTTAAAACTTTTTATGGTCCTTTTATATCTCTCTATTCCTGTGCCAGCATCATCCATTATTTTTCGTAGCTTGGATGTGTTTAAAGTCATATTCCCTTTTGGCTTCTGTTTTTCACTGTTTTCCCCAAGTCAAACATTTAATCTCCTCTCAGAAGATGAGCTTTATTTCTGTGGTCATTCTAGTAATTCTTGTATACGTCCATTTCAGCTTTGATTCATCTTTCTTGGATTCATTTAACCAGAACTGTATCCTTCATTCCAGATGGACTTTCTCTTGTGCTTTGTTTGATAACAATAATACTTCCTGAAAGTAAGTCCACTAGCATTTCTGGAGCTTCCTTGGTCTTTTATGATGTTTTGTTATTCTTCGTTTGTTGTTTTGATTTTTTTTTCCCAGTTACTCCCATCTATAGTGCCATCCACCTCTTGAGTGACACTCTGACCCTGTCTCTTCTGATGACCTTCATGTGATAGAAGACATCACATCATTAGCTGTTCTCTGTAGGCATTTCTTCAGTTAATGCCAATGTCACAACTCGGAACATTTAAGCAAAATGATCTTTGAGCATCTTTGCTAATTAGTTCCCTCTGGACAAATATTTCCCCTTTCAATGCATCTTCTCTTCTTTGCTTGCTCATCTTAAATTCATTGTGCTGTGCTGTTTTCCCCAGACTGACAATAATTTCATGTGTTATGTAGTGCCAGATGTGTTGTAGAAGTCCAGGGAGATGAAATTCGTGGTTTTCTTGCCTAGAAAAAACATTTGTCAAAGAAAATTACTCAGCTAATTTAGTGTCGACTGTTGTACTTAAATCCACATCGTATTTTGTTCCATTTTCCTTTTATAGGCTACTCCTTCTAAAATTACCTTTGAGGTTTGTTACATTGCCTGATTTGCTGTTGAGACTACCCTGGATCTGTAAGTGTCAGGATTCTATGTCCTTTCTGGTTTTCATTACAGTGACTGTTTGCTCTGACAGGTTTCAGTCATGTGATGGAATCAGAGAATTGGAAAGGCTGGAAAAGACCTTTAAGATCATCGAGTCCAGCCATCACCCAACACTACAATGACCATGTTCCCAAGTGCCACTTATACGTGTTTTTTGAACACCTCCAGGTATGGTGACCCCACCACCTCCCTGGGCAGCCCGTTCCAATGCCTCACCACTCTCTCAGTAAAGAAACTCTTCTGAACATCCAATCTTTGTAACCTGCTGTTGGGCCACTGTAGCATGTCTTTGCCAAGGTCATCTTGCAAGTACAGTACACAGTAATGGAAAATGGAGTATTGTTTGCGCCTTTAAATTACTAATGAAGCCACAAGATAATAGAGAACTTTGAGCTTTGTCCCCTTTTAGTCCCACTTGCCAATCCTGGTCTAAGAATTAGAAGGTAGGCTTTTCAGGGCAGTGATGATACCTTTATTTGTCTGTAAAATGTGCCGCAGTTTGGGGCACTATTTTAAAGCTTTGTCAAGACTTTTTCCTCACTGATGTAATCTTCAAATGATTTATTCTTGGAGCATCAGTTACCACTCCCTAACAATTCTCTTTTTCCTTTGCTAATCTTGCCTGCTGTTTTCTTGGCTTTAAAATAATATGTAAGGTTGAGCAAGTTAAAAACCAGTAGAGGTATTTAGTCACGGTTCAGTACAAAATAAAATCTTAAGACAGACCTAGAAGGTCATGTTTTCCTCCACATCTTGTCTTTAAGAGAGACCTTTAGCAGATTTTTAAGGAAGGAGCTCAAGAACCAAGAAGAGGGTAGTGTAAAACCCCGTTGTGTCCTTTCCACTTCAGAAAGCAAACAGCTTAGGTTAGGGACTTCCGGAGCCCTGTTTCTGATAGCTGTCTGTGCACATATCCTCCATGAATTTGTCTAAACCTTTTTTGCACTCATTTGTGTTTTTGGCTTCCATACCATCCTGTGGCAATGAGTTCCACTATTTAATTATGCGCTTTGTGAAAGAGTACTTCCTTTTGTTTGTTTTAAATCTGCGGTCTGATAATTTCATTGGATGGCTGCTTGTTATGAAGAGTAATAAATCACAATTTACTGTTTGCTTTTCCACATTTTTCTTCATTTTTTTATAAGCTTCTGCCGTAGTAATCTTACCTTGGAAAACTAATGACTGTATGTGGTGAGTTGAGAGCCACATTAGTCTCTGTACGGAGACTGTTCTGTGACTTGGATAATCCTTTCTCACCCTGTGCTGAATTTGTCCTGGTGTTCCCATGTCTTCCTGAGGTGAGGTGACCAAACCTGTATTTTTTAATTCAGATGTGGATGCACTGGGGTTTAGCAATATTCTACAGGAGTGTAATCTCTTTTGCATGGCTGTCTTCTGTTGCCACAGGAGCTGGTATGACTTGCAGCAACTGCATGGCTTTCCTTAGCTTGTGCTCCCAAGATCAACAGAGGCCCCAGAGCTACTTGGTGTACTCAGTATAAAGCAGTGTTGTGGGTTAGAGGCGTGCTTTCTTCTGGTCCTGAAGGCTTATTGCTTCTAGGCTTTTAATTTGAGCTCGGGAATCAAAAAGCCAGTATGGTATTCCAGTCTTTTCTGATCTGGAGGGCACAAAACTAGAATAGCCAAAATTTACACTTTTGAGTTACAGCAGTTGTAGCAGTTCTGAGGCATCATTCTGCTGGAGCGCGTTGTGCTTTCTGTCTCCATAAGGTGGGTGCACTGAGATGTCGGCTGATGTGATCTCCTTCATTCAACTTGGGAGCCTCTATGGCCACGTTTCCCTAGTAGGTCTTGAGGAATCATGTCTACATATTGATTAGGATACAAGTTTTTATTGCAAGTTATTATATCATCACTATGTTAGTTCAGATCACAAGTGCACTCACAGCATAAATTTGTGTGTTCCTACCACTCTTTGGTTTGTGTCTCAGGGATAGCAGCCTGTCTTCCTTTCAGGTGAAACCATACTGGAAGGATGCTCTTGGGGAGCATACTTAATGCACTCCAGCTGCTGCTGGGAGTGTCCTCTCTGTGGGACTAAACTGGAGTGAGGCCAGTGTGAACTCCACCAAATTGGTGTTGAGTCCTCAACATTGGTTTGCTTTACAGATACACTCCTCCTGCACCACAGTATTTGCTGATGTAGGCATAGCCAATGTGTAGGAGTTTCAAAACATTTTAAACGGTATTAAACTTACCACTTATTACTTACACAAGAATCCTTTGCCATATATTGTAGAGCATCTCAGCTTTGTCACCACAGATCTTCACAGTGCTAAAGTATTAACCTAAGTTCAGGTATTGAGAGGAAGTTGTCTAGGGTCACGTAAAGACATAGGTAGCAGAGGTGCAATTATAATTTGGATTAAATGTTACTCTAATGCCTGTCAAAAACATCTTTTTTCCAGAATAGCTTAAAAAGAAGGAAAATACTAACAGTCTTCACTGAAATAAGCGTCCAGCTTTGTAACTGGAGAGTCCTTTCATAACTAGCACTCTGTGATATTTTTGCTGCGACATTTGATTGGCCAAACACACTGCCACAGACGTTCCAGAGTGGGATATTACTGGGACGTTATTGATTGGTTTTGCCTCTCTGCAATTAAAGTCAACAGTACTTCTGTTTTGTCCCATACCTGTTGCTGTGATCTCTGACATACTCAACCTTCGTCTTGGATTAAAAAAAGAGAAATCAATGTTCTTCTACCTGTCGGACATATGCTGCAGTCCCTGCCTATTACTTGAGGGATACACGTATGTATTCCCAGGCAGCAGCAAACCTGATGCAAACTGAAAATACTGTGTCTTCACAGCAGGCCAAGCAGTTCCAGAAACATACCGAAATTCTTGCGTAGTCACGGTGCATTCATTCAGTGCAGGCACAGTAAAACTGGCAGAGGGAGAAAGGTGCCAGCTAGGAGCAGTTTCTTAGTATTTATAGAGAAAGTAACCCAGCCTGTATTTTTGCTCTTGGAAGCACAGTGGGCTAGCTTTTATCCCCGAGCGGGACCCCTGGGGCTCATTTCCGTTATGGCTCTCCCTGCAGGGCCGGCCGCACCCTGGGGGGGAGCTATAAGGCAAACTCACCACCTCTTTATGAAGGGCTGTGGGAATCACCCAGATGTCAACCTTAATTCAGGGGCTTGGGGTTCAAACACCAGCATTTCAGTGGCCATCATGCCTTTGTCTTGAAAGACTAATTTTATGACATTGCATTTTATTTCATTTGTGTCCGTACAGGCGAGAAGCTTAAAGCTGTGTATCAATACAAGCTAAGAAAATATTTATTTTTATCTCCTAGGCTACTCGACATGCAGAGATCGTGGTGATTGATCGGGTCCTGGACTGGTGCAAGGAACACAACAAAGATTATACAGAAGTGTTTGCACACTCCGTGTTGTATGTAACTGTGGAGCCTTGTATCATGTGTGCAGCTGCCATACGTTTGATGAGTATCCTTTACATGCTTATATATGCTGGGAAACCATATGTTACTCTCTTGGCAGTGAGCCCACAGAGGAGGGCTTGGCTCTCGCAGCAGGGGTATCATCTTCTGGTTGTAGAGTCTGCACCCACCTCCATTCATTGCCTGCTAAATAGTGAGAGACTCCAGAATGAAAGAGAAGTGGTGCAATTATGACAGATGACAATTCCTCTTAGGGATGTAACAACACATTTTAGAGATACCTGTTATTATGTAAAATGAGCTCACCTCAGTTCAGTGTTGAATGTTGTAACAATTGGTAAACAGTGCCTTTGTATGCCTCTGCTTTGGGATTCGTGCTTCTGCTTCCCTGAGGAAAGCTGGCTGTGCATCTTCAGCAATACATCTTGCATTACTCAGAAGTTCTGATTTCATGAGAGAGGAATTGTAACGCAAACTAATTTACTTTGAAAAGTACAAGCACATTTTAGTGAAATATAATGACTACTTAAATCAGGCTGCTGTACTTCCTGCTCTCTTTTCACTTTAACTTAATACCTTAACTCATTAACATAAATTCCACGGGTTGTATATGGCTGTCGAAATGAGCGATTTGGAGGCTGTGGCTCAGTTCTGAGTATCTCATCCGATGATATGGTAGACACAGGAGACCCATTTGAAGTAAGCTATAAAATATTTTCCTTCGTTTTTCAGCTAGGGTACTGTGCCTAACTTTGTTATGCTATGTGTCAGTTTAAGACAACTCTGATGAAAGATGATCAGAAGCCATGTAAAACTTGGCTTAACATGAAAATACTGTAAAAAAGTTAAATCCATAAATTAGAGAAAATTGAGGAAAAGCCTGATGACAGTCTTAAAATACTTCAAAGGGTGCATCAAAGAGGAAAGAATTATCTTTGTGAAACAAGGTAAGGAATAAATAGATCTAAAAGGTGTGTAATACTTAGAACAGTAAGTGTATGCTGCTGTCAGAGATGACGGAAAAACAATTTTAAGCTACAGAATGTACAAACATATAATCAATAAAGATCAAATAACAACACCTTCCTAAATTACTGGGTTTTAGCTGAGCGACTGGAAATGTTTGTACTTTTTCTTCCAGTTTATCCATATATGAGGTAAAATGCATTAGCTTAGATCTACTTCATACTGTTGAAATCTCAAAATAAATACGGACTGCAGAAGTAGCAGAGGAGATTCAGTTTAGATATTGGGAGACTTTCTGAAGAGTAGGGATACTGAAGGATTGGAACAGTGTCTGGGGAGGATAAGGCACTGTTGTCATTTAAGAAAGGCTGGACAAGCATTGTGTGGAGGTATAACAGACGTAAATCTAGATGTTTTACAGCATTATACTAGTATACCTATGTACCTGTATATATACATATAGGTCGAGAGTATTCATAGCATTATATTTATTACATTATACATGGTTGTAGGTGATCCTGCCTTATACAAGGACAATGATTAGAGCTCTTAGAGTTCTTTTCCACACTTAACATTTATGGTTTAATGAATGTAAAAAACGTAATCTATTGCAGCACTGTAATTAAACACTAAAGGCTCAGGGCTCAGAAAGAATTTCAGTCAGCAAGACAATACTATTTGGCACTCTGGTGTAAACATATTAAACAGCTTTCTGTTGGGGTGTTTGTGAGACTAGCGTCTGAATTTATTTGTGTAGTCAGTACTGGAAGAGTGTTCATTTGCTAATGTTGGTTATTAGGGAAATTATCTCAGCTAAGCCTCAATGTAGTATTTTCCAAACATATGAAGTGTTCAACCCAAAAAGATTTTTCTGACCCCCAAACAGTTAAAGATACATGTTAAATTAGTGGAATAGACAGTTGTTTACAATTATTCTGTACTTAGGGCATGATTGTGAAGCATGGAATATGTTATTCTCAGATGCACTCACGAGCATCGTTCTTTTGAACAGTGCGTTTCTGGATATCGTGCCAAAGAGGCAGTGGAAATGTTAAAAGCTTTCTACAGACAAGAAAATCCCAATGGTAGGTTTCACATTAATGGATCCATTTTGGTCCCAACCTAATTTAAAAGAATGTTGGCACTGGTATTACGGTAATTTACTTCTGATGTTTTTTTCTCCCTTTCTGTTTCTTCTTGGCAGCACCAAAATCAAAAGTGCGGAAAAAGGACCGTCGTAATTAGCCCCGTGCTGATGGGAGGCAGAAACTTACCAAGAAATGATACATGAAGGTTTTTTCAGCATCCTTCTTTTTTAAAATGTACAGTGCAATTAAACTACGTGTAATGTTCTGTACAGAATTTTTACTTAATAGGATACTTGCTACTTGTTCACATGTCTCTGTGTATGTGACTTCTTGTAATCATACATGACCAAACAGAAGAATAAGTGGCTGTTTTTAGAAAGAGGAAAATTCATGGTTCAAGTTCACATGCTTACAGCCAGATGGATCCATTAAAATGATCCTACTCTGTACAGCACATTCTAGACTACCTTCTTTCCTTCTGTTGGTGGAGATACATCTTGCTTTTCAGTACTAAGTGTTTGCTCAGACAAGTAAGTAAATCTCTTGGAATGTTACCTTTGTAAGACCTTCTCAGTCCTTGTGTATTTAATCAAAAGGCATATAAGGAATTGTGCAGTCCTCAAAGACTTGAACTAAGACTATTGTAACAGTTCCTCATTGGTTTTTACACCCCCTCTAGCATAAGCTAAATTTTCAGACATAACTTCTGAAAGTCACATACATAGATAGACAGGTATGTATGAAGAATCCCATGTCTCAGTTTCTGTGTGCTATCCCTTAATGGAAGCAAGCATCACTTGACAGCACAACATATTCATACAAAGTTGTGGAGAAACTCTCCACTCCTCTTGTGAACAGAAGCATAAGAAATGCTGTAGTGTTAAGAATCCACTTAGAAGTTGTTCTCAGCTGCTAAATTATAGTAACTGAGTTGGGCAGATACAGGGGGAACCAGGAACAGACATTGGTAACAGTATGAAGAAAAGCTACTTGAGATGTTTATCTTTCTGTAACGTGGGTTGGCTTTGTCATTTCCATGTACTTTGCTTCCCCATGCAGTAATTTATAATCCAGAAGAGGGCCTTACAGTTCCACTAATGAAGAATACACATACAGTTTAGTCTTCATTGTATACCTCTTAATGTATACTTATCTTAAGCATGAAACTGTAGTTTATTTGGCTGATAGTCAGAAATCTGAGAAGTGCCCTAACTTTTTTTTTAATGTAAAAGTGCTACAATTCTATGACTATAAAAACTGAATACAATTAAACCTTTTAGATACTTCAAATAAAAACATTCAAAAGTGTTTTTTAAGACAGCATTAAAAACATTACACATAGTTTAGAATTTGTATCTTGTGTACATGGGAAAGAAGTGTTTTTACTGTAACAGCTATTTTTGGAGTTTAGAAGTAGTATTTCTTTAACTCAATTGCTTTAACTGACATCTGTGACCTGTCCTGTTCTCATGGACATTGCTTACAGCACTCTTTGAGTCTTTTCCTCTCCATAAGCAACAGGAATTACGACTGTCTGTGTAGTTTCATCAGCTTTGGAGCTTCAAGGGCTCATTAACCAGACAGCTAAGCTGGGAAAGACCATTTTCAATGACTGCAGTGGCTTTATTGGAAAGAAACAGTCACAACTCTGGTTATGGTATATGGCTGGTGATTCAGGAGCTATTTATCTATAAGGATACATTCATTCAGGTCTCAACCATGGGTTTCTTATACTTTGAAGAAGTCACTGAAGTCCAAATAAAGGGAAGATTATAGACTTCTGGCTTGTCACTGACATCAGTGTAAGTAGGAGTTGGAGCCTACATATTGTTTTGGACCAGGACCTAATCTCTAAGCACATGTTCTTCTGCAGAGGGGCTAGAAACACATTCCTTCCTCACTGCCTTCTTTCAAAGAAGAAGTTTGTTAGCATTTGGATAGTGTGACAGTAGGAGATAACCTGTAGTAGGACAAAACACACTATAAAAGCTGTGTCCAGTTCTGCAGTCTTTAGAAGTGGAACAGAAATATTTTGTAACAGGAGTCAGTGGTAACCTGTCACTTAAATGGTTTAAGTCCTTCTCAAAGCCAAAAGACAAAAATAAAAGTCCTGAAAAGGGTGACAAAAATAAAAATTTTCTTTCAGGAGTGATTAAGGGTAATAATGTGCATCTTAGAAAAGGGGCATGAAAGGGGAATAGCATAGCAAGCTAAGAACTATTTTATTACAGAAAGGTTATAAAAGATACTTGCAAAAAAAAGCCATAACAGTTCAGTATTAAAAGGCAAATTTGGATGTGTGGGTTTTTTTGCTTGGTTGTAAGCTTGAGTAATTAGCCTGGGGAACAAACTGCTAAAAGGTTACAGTGAAAGCAGAAATATAGCCCATTATCCTTAAAATCCAATTACTCACATGAGTAAGAAGAAATGCAGATACACAGGTAGATTTTATGAAAGAAATAAATTAACTTGTGTTTGAAGACAAGCTGCTCATCAGAGCCATGGCATGACATCTCGACAAGTGGCGCATGTCTCCTCACTGCCTGCAAACATCCAGGCTCCCACCACAGTAGCAGCAGATGTGGCAGCAGGAGCCCACAGAGACTGGTTCTGTTGGCCTCCATTTGCCACTGCCCTCAGAGATGTTCCTGGGGTAGTTGTCCCTGCCTGATGTGCTGCTGCTCTTCCTAACCGTGACTTCTGAGTGACTGTCAGCGTTTTGTAGAGCTGGATGGAGAATCCTGAGCACTCCACAGGAAATTAGAGATCCTGGGCAGAAGGTTCTAGGTTCAGACTCAGAGAAACATCTCCATAGCTAAGCTCAGCACAGGCTGGAAGAAGGCAGGAGGCAGCAACAACAGTTCTGACCCAATGAGCAGGTCAGTTTCAATGCTGCAGGTCAGAGAATGGCCTTAACAAGAATTTGAGAAGAAAGAAAGCAGCACATCAGAAAAAGGCCTGAACCATTCTTGGGATGCTCATTTTGGTGAGAAGAAGCTGCAGAAGGCTTGGTTTGTAATGGTTGCCACCAAATAAAATCCTGCAGCAAACTGCACCAGAAGCGGCCTGGGAATCAAGAGCTGATGGGTTACACAGCCTGAAGAACTGTTGCTGTCTCTTTGCTGTGGACCTAGGTCCAGGCTTTGGCTCTAACCCCGAAAGAGTTTCAAGAGTAACAACTGTGATTGTTACTGCTGCCTGGGAAACTCAGAGCAGTGATTTAAAAATGATGCTATCAATTTCCACAGCACTTTTACTTCTTTCTATCTATCTACTTTGCCACAGAGCAGGCCTCAAGAGCAGCAGTAATATATTCAGCTGGTTTATTGAAAGAAGTTTAAAAGCTTCATGTCACCATTTTTCCCTTGCTGCTTGATAAATAAATACGTAGGCTTCACCATTATGTTTGCCTTTGGACTGTATTTTAGCCAGTTCATCACAGGCAAACATCATTTTATTTCAGCCTTTGGTTTGCTTGTCAATAGTCTGACATCAAAATATATTGAACAAGCTAGGAGGGCAAGGAAGCAGAACAACACGGCTTTGTCTCTGCTAAACCGATTACAATTGACAATCCAAGGCTATAATAAATATGTCTTGTGACTCGCACACCAGAGGAAAGCCTGAATTTAAATTATAGCTTTGGGTTTTGAAATGCTCACTGATCCATTCCATTCCCATTAAGAGCGCCTTCCGCTCTGCAAAATGAAGTGATATCTTTACATGACAGTTTAATTTAATTAATTTATTTTTCAATATGTACATTTATGGAGTTTCTCCATTAAGCTTTGAAATGTCTGTAGGTCCCAGGCATTAATGTAAATGCGCCATGGCCCGTAATTACCTTTGGCAGGCTCAGGGCACTGATAAAAAGATTATATTTTTAAAAACCAAAGTCTTCAAACTTCCGCGGTGCTTGGCAGGAGATCTATTTCTGTGTTTTATTTGGAGCAAGGCTGGGGAGCCTGCAGCCAACAGCTCCAGTGTAGGCAGTAACTGTTACATTTTAAAAAAAATACGATTGACGCTAAATGAGAGAAGGGAACAGGAAGACAATTAGTGTGAGAGTACTAGAAGCAGCTGTTTATTTGTTTTGCCTTGTGGCTGCCAATATATACTGTTATCATTAAAGTGCATCTAGAAATGAGGTCTTTTCTACGAAATTACTTCACAAAACATGGATCTTTATCTTTTTAAGGGGCTGCCCCAAAGTGGGTTTATCTTCCTTTTTCACAATAGCTCTGCGCTAGCCAAGAATGCCGGATTCTCCCCTTGCTGCCTCCTCCTCCTCCCTCCCTTCTAAAAATGAACTTTTCAGGGAAATAGGAATTCAGAGAAGTTTGAAGGAGAGCAGATGGCCAACAGTGATCCAATAGGATGTAAAACTTCAGTTAGGTAGTTGCTTGGCAGGCAAGTACAAGTGAGCCCGTGATGTTTCCATAGCGATGTTTTCACATGGTGCCTTCCTTTTGTCTTTTAAAAAATCTCAGTGACTAAAAAAAAAAGGCAGGGTAGGAGGGGAATATAAAATAAAATGAAGGGCTCTGTAGACCCAAACATTTAGCATGGTATCATTAACTCCACCTTTCCCAGGGTCAGTGACTAGGGCTCCTTAATACTTTCTGCTTGGAGAGCAACGCACTGACCTCATCTGTGGTCACTCACACCCGCCAGCCTCGGTTGCTGTGGTGTTTGTGGGAGCTGCCTGTGTTGCTGGATAAAGAAGGGACAGCTTCTGAAGTGACATTATGGCTCAGACTGTAGTGCTCTTGCAGGGGCTATTGCTCAGGCACCGATTTTTGTGGTGTCAGGGTTTCACATTTGCCCAAGGGGGGCTGTGCTGTGGCAGCGTCCTTGCCGTGGCGCTTCTCTAACCTTCGGAGCTTTCTCTACGCGCAAGGAGGCAGCGTAATAAAAATCGACGCTTCCCCTGGCTTCGATTCCTGCTTTCTCTTTTGAAGTCTGAGAGGTGGCCATTGCAGTCACATTAATTTGTGAGGATATAAATAACTGCCATTATCTGTGCAGCCATACTGCGCAAGAGAAACCAGATTTGCAGGGAGAGGCAATATCTTTTATTAAGCTGAATGACAGCTGGAAAAAACAAGCAAGCTTTTCAACAACCAGCTGCAGGGACCGAGTTCAATAGCTTACCAG